AAATTGAGTTTTTGCAAAAGGTTAAGTACATTTCGTACTTATCTTCATAAATTGATTTGATGATGGACAATAACGTCTGCTGGACTGGGGCTCTTCAGAAGGTAGGTTAGGCCCGCTATGCTCAAGTTAATTCAAGCAGTAAATATTTCCATTAAAAAAAAATCATCGTAACTCACATGCACACAAAACTGCACATTCATGATTTAAGCAAGTTTTTCCAGGTGTTCTGGAGAAGGTATTGCAAACCAAACCAGAGATGGCTTCACCTGAAGTTATGAATGGTGCTACTCACGGGCAAAAAACTCCAGGGTAAGACAGTGAAATCGTGTGCCAACATATTTCTATAATGCCACACCACCAATTAAAAAGCACGAGTCTCTTAATGTAGCCTCCTGGGACACAACGTGTGCCCTCTAGTACAAGTGGGAGAGTTATTAGTACTAAAATGAGATACCCATGGCCAATGGACACTAAACGTTACCACAAAACCCCATCATTGGGCAGGAAAAGCCACCAGCAGGTGGCAGAACTCCACATTAATAGCTTGAATCTCTATAACCATGATAAAATATTATATAAGCTATGGAAATACCTTGATTGTGGTCAGAAATCCCTAAAGGCTTTACATAAACTAATGGTTTCTTATACCATTACATTTAACTATAAAGATTAATCCAATTTCCACCGGTAGAAAGGAATCGTATCAATGATCTTATCAGTCTATTGTGAAACAAGAACTTAAAAAAGCACACTGTCACGAGGTAGCATTTCTGTGTATCTACTGTAAAAGCAGCATAGATCTGAATATTCAGAGGTAAACTTCACACACATCCATTCTTCACAGGCAGAATGCAACAAAGCAGCATTATTTTATTATCTGCCATCAATCTTTCCTCAGATGCAAAAATATTTGGATTATTGCACATGGAAAGTTTGACATCTCAGATGCAAAATGAAAAAGCTAAGATGCTGCAACTGGTGAATCAAGTCTCTCAAACTCAAAATTCAAAACTGTTTCCTGTGTTTCACTGGAAAAAAAAAATGAATTTCTAGGATATGTAAACAAGAGGAGAGAGAAATGGGACACACCTTTCTCACTGCAGTGGTATAAAACTAAAATTACTTTCAACCCTGGTCTCAGGCAGGTTAATACTTCTATAATACATGCATTCTTACATGAAAATCACTCAGGCTAATATATAAACCATTTATGGTCTGTCTTTGTGTGCTATATGCACATTACATGGAATGTGATGGAAACACATTTTAAGGAAACACATCTAAGGAAAATGACTGCAGAACGTAACAGTAAGAAAGAAAAGTGGGGAAAAAAGTACACAATAGATATAACCAGCTTATCACCAATCACCAAATCTGGATTTTTGTTAAGATTTTAAAGTCTCAATTCTGTTCAAAAAGCAGGGGATGTCCAATGGAATCCTTCAAAATATTTCAACCACCCAACACATTTTCCTTAGAAACTACCCTACTGGACTCCAAAATCCCCAAATACAAACTGATGAACTGTTCTGTTGTTTAGCTCAGACTGTAAGTTGGCACCAGTTTTTAATCAGAATCCTGCTAAAAAACATTGATCGCCTTTGTGAACAAATAGCATAAAAAATGAATTTGAGTTCACAACAGCCATGGGATTTACCCATCAGATACAGTATACACACCAAAAAGCACTAGGATCCGCCATCTCACATTAGTTACACTGGTCATTGTCTAGATGTTATGATGTTTGTAAAATATTATTCTTCCCTTTGCCAGAATTTCTGCATGCTGGAGCTGCAGACCCTTCTCAGCAAGTGATATTTCATTTCTTGCCATACTTTAAGAGCATACTGTATTCCAGTTACACCACCATGGGACTGGAACACCCCACATTAGAGACGCCTAGATTATATCATAGTTTGAGCACATCTTGTCAATGTCAAATTCCAAACCTGAAAGTTAATTCTCTCTAGGCAAACAAAAAAATAGGCCAAAGTCTGATGGGGACAGACTGAAAAATACAATTCCCATTAATTTGAATGTGGAAATCCCAGCTATAAACGCATATAATCTGAAGCCTAAAACTATATTACACTGGAGTGCACTTAGTTTTAAGAAACTGGGCCACAAAACAATGTGGGTGTAGAAATGTACAAATGTCAATAAAACTTGCAAAATGGTCAACATCATTCATGAATAATCTATATTTCTAATCATCTCATTTTTACCTGCAGCACATGCCTTTATATGCAACTTCTATCACCCTTCTTTTCTGCAAAGGTGGCTAAACCAAGTCAAATTTAACCTCATCGAAATATCTGCTGCACCAGCTAAACGCCATAAGGCTTCACATAATGACCCGTCAGAATGCATTTCCTTTTGCAAAACCATTAAACTGCTGAAACACATACATGACACAGAGCATGACTAAAAGTACATGCTAGCCCATGACTACATATACTATCGATCAAAATGTTATTGTGTTTACTGCTTGTCTGAATATACAAAAATACATACATTGCATACTATAAACATGAATAGCATCTCTGTGTATTAATAACATGTTGAAAATCAGAAAAGAAAGTAAAAATAAAACTATGGGAGATTCTTTAGGTGTGAGCAAAGAAAGCTCTACCACCAAAATCTCATGTTTTGTCCTTCCTTTACTCTTTCCTACTTGGAATTAACCTCTGCTTGGTCCTGCACAGCTCGCATGCTGACACAGCTCCCCACTCGAACCTCAATAACATACCTGGGCTGATCTTCAAGGGTCATTTTATTCATATACAGGGTAAACTGTTCATTCTAATCAATCTTTTTAGAAAGGACCACGCAGCATGCAGGTATCTACTGTATCAGACAGACACATAACTCATCTTCTTTTCAGACTCAACATTTTTGAAGTGGCTTGACTTCATTTCATGAATAACTACAGCACTGCTTTATCAGAAAGCCCTTTGTCAGGCCATGTAAAATTTGAAATGAACTCACACTTAGGGTGAGCATGTCTGTTGCAAACAACGGCACTTGTCACCATCAGCCACAGAACGGGTCAGGTCAAAACCATTCACAAGTAGCAGAGGACGCCTAATTATGGAAAAAAGTCTCGGAGTATTTTCAGATCATTCATGGGCATTGCAGTGTCCTCCCTCACAATGCAGGGGCATTGGCTTTAATCAACTAAATGTTATGTGTTTCCGCATCACAAAACTGCCCTGTTTAAGGAATTAAAACAGTGCTGTCACCAGGCCTATAATTACATGTAAGCATAACTGGTTACTCAACTTCCAAAAATAGTTTCCAGGCTTTACAAGGCCTCAGAGCTGGAGATCGCTATTACAGCTTTCTTATCAATATCTATGCAAATAAAATATTTTTAAAAAGTAAATCCTCTTGGCTGTTGCTGCACAACACCAGGAAATTGTACTATTACTAAGACATGCATTGGTAAAAATTACAACTAACTAGAATGGAGGTATAATTAAACAACCCTTTTTTAACAAGAAATATTTCTCTTTTTCTGTTTTGCGAGCTAAAGACATTTCAAGACCTTGACATATCAAACCGGCTAGAACTCACAACGTACAGACAGATGCTGTACTTCTGATCCAGTCCATGGGTGTATTTTAAAAATATACTGATATCCAGGATATGCAGAAACCTTTAAAACAGGGCCATGGGTATAAAAAGGTCCAAACTAAAAGGCTCTTGGTACAAGAGTGCCACTTACTGAAAACTGCTTAGAACTCACAAAGCCTGATGTCATTTACCCACAGTAAGTACGCAGGACTTCTAAGCATAATTACAGCATATAAAACCACTGACAAAGGTAAAAGATTATATGACGGAAATTTTCCACATATACTGTATACTGCATCAGTATTTTCTCTGGGTTCAGCACGTCGCCTGGATTTGATCGCAGTCTGCAAATACAGTACAGTGTTCGCACCCCTAATAACTTCCAACCACTGAAATGTAACAAGTATGCTTTTTAAAAGACATCCTCTGCATTACTGATGCTGCAAGGAAAGCATTTACGTTCGCAAAATCATTAAAATTCAAGGACACATCGTGGCCTTGCTGCAATAATAATTTTAAGCCTCTTGTTAAAGGGGGGGAGTCTGCAAAGTTTCCGATAATTCACGCCGATTTTCATCATTCGTAATTGTCCCTGCACAGGAAGCTGTGTGTACATCATACGCTTAAATCAAATATTGTTTAATATGTTAAAACAAAACGTTATTTAAACATCTGTTCGCAGTGAACATTTGAACACTTCAAAGTGTTCAAACTTCAAACTACAGTATATATACTGTGTATATGCACTTACTTGTGATTTAATTAATGGCATAATTAACATAAACTCGGCTCAGTTTTACGGGAGAAACTAATCCCTGCCAATTGAAATCAAAACGCATGGAAAATCATTTTTATTTTGGAACATAATTTCATAACATTTCATTTAGATAGGCAAAAAATCGTATTATCTTTCGGATAACACTACTAATTGATTCATTTCAGAATGAATGAACGTTCAACAATACAATACGTTCACTTCCAGTTTTGTGTTCGAATATGCATGAAGAAAAACACACGTTTTGTTTTGTAAACGCTGCAATACTAATCACATACAGTACGTTTGGAAATGCGAGTAATTATTCGTAGTAAAATACTAATCGTTGGAAATAAAATGACGTGTTCTTCCCGGAAATGTATGTAGTATTTGAAAGGTACTTTGAACGATGTCTCCTTAGCTATACAGAACAGTGCAATTTTATTTGCAGACTTTAGTTGTGCACATTACAACAGCTGACATCGTGAACGCAAACTTAATAATTCGATATCCTAAAAACTTATGGAGAGCTTCAATTTTAGCGGCGAAATTACCATGCCTGCAAATGAACGGACAGGTTGCAAGCAGTCACCTAACTGTACATAAGCACTTTGACCTGCCACACCTTTGTCATCAGAAGAGCTGTGTTAAAAGAAACCATACCACTTACCCAACTGCGATATGGGGAAAAGTTTCTGAAGTGCAAAATTCACTTACTTCCACTGATTATAAAAAAAAACTAAACAAGTTACCATTCCGTATTTGTTGACCAAACAAAGCCTTGATGTTTTTATTTCACATTTTGTGAACGTGTATGAGAGGCAAAACGCGCAAGGTCTCGTTTTTTCCGGGTAATAGCGATACAGATTAGAATAAACCAACCCCGGATATGATCTAGTCTTTTTTTTAAAAGGGGAACTTTAAAGATTGATCTGCATTCTGTTGTCCGTCTCTGAAAACAACAACAAAAAAATCTCCAAAGAGTGTGCAGACGGACCTAAAACTGAGACCGACCAAAGGCAAGAAGTTAAATGCCTTTGTAAAACTGAGAGAACAGGTTGACAGCAAGTGGTTGGTTGCCTGTCTGTTACACTCAGCGGTCCCAGCTGTGCCCAGTTTGGCTAAATAAGAATTCGCTTTTGAAAATACATAGTCCGGTTTCAAACGGTTTCATGATAGCCGTGGATTTGATACGGTATTGTAAATGACATTCAGCGATCACAGTGTTATTTTTCTTTTGCAGTCCTTCATGTGCATCTTCCATTTTGTTGTATTTCTTTATAAAATGCGAAAAACGTATAATTATGTCCTCTTTCTTCTCCGATTACTGAATATGCATACATGTACGTAGAAATGTATATTACTTTAACTTACATCCTCCAAAAAACAGTTTATTACAGAAAAAGTGATAAAACAGCAACGTGCTTTCCAAGTTGTTGTTTTTTTTTTCTTAAAGGCAGATGTTTTGACAAAACCTTGCAGTTTTGGGGTATGTTAAACACATAACTGCCTTGTAGCCCGCAGCACACCGTAATGTTTCGACATTTTGTATTTATTTTGGATGTCAAGAATTAATTTATTTTCCCCTTAATGTCTTTTCACTCTGTTCAAGAAGAAAGAGAAAAGCTAGGAAAAAATGGTGGCACTTTCATTTTACAGGCGATTACAATATGTAGTATTCATACTGTAGTGTAAATCATAACAACCAAAACGGATTTTCTGAGAAGTTAATCACCATGTTCTCAGTAAAACGTTACTTCAATTCAATAACAAGACCAACATGGAAAATTAAAAAAACGATGGTTTTCTCTTTAAATTTTCTTATATCTTATTTCTAAATTCAATTACAAATAAGCTATTTATCACAGCGGTTGCTTTAACTTGCTAGTTAACTCTTTCTAAATCGTAATATACTGTACTTCACACAGATCTACACACTAGCATAAAGTAACACGTGTAAATTCAATTACTGAGAAGGTTGCAAAACAGAACAATCAGAAACAGAAGTAAAGAGAGACCTAAAACGTAACATGTTTGGTAGTATCTTTGTAATAAATTCAGAACAGAAATTGTGTATGTACAGTAGGTCTTCTCTGCTTATTCGTAATAGAAGACGGAAAAAGGTATACGGTGTAATACCTTCCTACCTGTAGCGTATCTTTTAAAACATATTTTTCTAGTACAATCGATACTGTTCCTCTGTTCTGCCACAAAACGCTAGATTACGTATTGTACACCTACTATTTTGAAAGTGGTAACAAGCTGTTTGCAAAGCGTGCCCTTTTCTAGCACTGTTCAATTCATGTCGTGCACAGTACCGTATGCACAGTTAAAATCTCTCTTAGGACTGTGGATGCACCTACTGTACAATGTAGTGAGTGTCTACAGCCGTGCAGGGCAAAGAGTGACTTGTAACAAAGCCCATTAGCGAAATTCCTCTTTTTTCTTTCCCGACGGAGCCAACATGACTGCTAAACGAAGCAGAAACAACAGAGAATGTCGCAGAGCACCTTAAACAGGACAGGCAACTAAAACACAGGGAGGTACATGTGTCATAACTTACTCCTTGAAGGCTTTTGCAGACTTTGGTAGCTGAGGTATTCTCAGTCTAGCACATACCGTATTAGTTTGTACTTTGGTGACCCTTTTCTGATGGGTGGGATTGAAATACCTGGTAACTAGGGCTGCATTGTTCAGGGTTTTACAGAATCGTAGCACATAGAAATTTCAAAATGCTGAAGGGAGTTGTTACCTTTAATACTTGGTTTAGGTGGAACACAGGTTTGCACTATACATTAAAATTGGTTAGAAGCAAATTTAGGGAACAGCACATCTACTGTATATACAAAGAGGAGTGAGTGGGATTAAATGTACAGTAAGACAAGGCTGCAGATGTTGAATGTCTAATATGCTAAATATAATAATGAGTACTACATTTAAAAAAAACTAGCTGGCGTGAGTGAACGCAGTCTGTGCAGGCATGTACTGTATTTCAGGGTTTCTGGGTAGTCCAGGGGCAGGGCAGTTAGTACAGCTGCTTCACACCTCCAGGGTCAGGTTCAGTTCCTGTTGTGGGTGTCAGTCTGTGTAGAGTTTGCAAAAGTCTTCCTGCACTCACTTGACATTTCTCCAGGTGCTCTGGTTTCCTCTTACCTCCCAAAGAAATGGTGACTAGGTCTGATTGAATCTTCCAAATTGTGCCTTTTCTGTGGCCCTGCAATGGACTGGCATCCCATCCAGGGAAAGAATAGTTGTCTGTACTCAGTCTCCTAGGAGTGCTCCAACCTTCATCAGTACAAGCAACTTTCTGACATGAGATAGAGCGATGTTAGGTTTTCATCTAGAGGAATGGATAGAATGGGAGGTTTAGAGTTGGGTTTTTTAGAGAAATGTGCAAGTATAGTACTCCTGGGTCTGCAGATTCATCAGGAGGTGTTCTGACAAATCAAGAATGTGCTCAAAGCCTCCTCTTCTTCATAATGTAAAAGAAAATGTTATTATCATATAGAGCATTTCACAGTGTCTACAAACCCAGTGATTATCCCCAAATAAGAAACAGAAGTATTGCAGAATTTCACTCCAAAGACATTGCGACTTCAGAGTTTCACTGATAGCTATCAGTTTCTTTTTCTAACCAGGGTCCATATGCATGTTTGGCAAAGAAAATGTACAAATAAATAGGGCACTGGGGATGGTAGCCCATCTAGCATAGGTTTCATTTGTAAAGAAGGATCATGAACAATCATCCTTTACAAACCACTTCTGACAACACAATGTGCGTATTCATTAGGAACCACACCCTGACAGCTTGCTGATTTATTGACCAGCCACTTAAAATAATGCAATAGCAGAGTAGGAAAGGCATGACTGCTTTCTTCCACCCCTTTCCGAAAGTTTTATGACTGGCAATGCTGCTGTGAGAACTGGGCTAAGGATAAATCACATGACTCTTTCAATGTTGAAAGATGTTTCTTAAAAAGGGCTCCTGTTTACAATTTTATTCATTTATTTCCTTTAAAAGAACTTCTTTTTGCAAGAGCCGCTCAGCTGAAGCATCAGCTTTTTCGATGATGCTCAGAAGGAACTGTTCATCATAAGAGCTGGAGGTCTCACATGTTAATCAGATGTTTGCTCCCCATGCCAACAGAAGGAAATGCCATGGTCACTAAGTCATTCTCTGCATCTTAAAGGTACCACATTATATATCCAGAATATGTTAACCACATATGTGTTACATATATTTAGGGTTATATCCCATTATGTGTATCGTGTTTTATTTTCTGCACTTTGCATCTGTTGGAGATTTTAAAACTCAGATACATTGCAGAATCTGTGAATAATGCCAAATGTGATGACACTATTTCTGGACACACTCCACACAAACCTCTAAGGCACTTCAAATATTTCGAATATTACGTGTCCTATATTGGCTATCATGTTTCACATATATGCTCGATCGTTATTACTATCTCCCATCTTATGTCTCTTTTGTATCATTTTAATTCTTCTGGTTCTAGCTGTGTCTTTGATAATCACTGAATTGGAATGTTCCTGAGAACCAAAAAGCCACTTTATAAAGAAAACATAACTGAGAAATGTGACGAAACAAGATGAGAGTACTTCCGATCTTTCCATGGCGACCCTTAAAGAATAAAAACTATGCCACTAATCCCAGTACCTTCTCATACTGTATGTGATTGGGTAGATTTAAGCGACCTTTAAATTAAAACGTAGTAGTGTACTCTGTCCTCCGCATAACTCATCGCTTGTATTATAAAAGGTCTGTAACCCTTACAACCTGGTTAAAATTATTATAGTTGTATTGTGATAATATATATATAAATATTTTTTTATCTCGAAAATGTTTCACCTGTTGCAGATTACACTTCCTGTGGGTTTTTTCAGAGATAGTAAAGAAAAAAAAATTGCGCAGTTTCCACTCCTCGTGCGCTGTCCGCTAATTCCGCCACCCACTCACTTCTCCACAATACCATCACATCAGAAAGAAAGAAGACATCTCCGTTCCACGGTGCCTCAGAATTAAAAGTGCAGAACTGGATGCATTGCCCTATTCTTTGAAGAAATGCGAAAACTAGAGAGAACAATATTTCCGAAAGGAAAAAATGAAAGAAAATGGCTTTTTTTTTTGCTCAGGAAAAACCATTATTAAATAAGATTATCTTGTCAAGTAGAGAAACACCGCACTTCCTTGTATCAAACCTAAAACTAAAACATTTAAGAACTGGATACTACTTTATTGACCAAGGTTACAAGAGAACTGTGTTAAGATGACAGGAGTTCTCGACATTTTGCACCTATTCTGACTGCCTTATACGCTACATTTGCAATGCACACAATTTGCTGAGGATTCGTGAATATTACCTGGGGAAGGTTATTGGAGTTGCACGGCCCTGGTTGCAATTGGTCTGCAACAGTGTTTGTGCAACAATTAAACCTTACTCCCTTAGCACTTCCTGATGATGCGTCTGCGTCGAATCATCTTATACTGTAACTCATCTGGCTGCAGAGAGGGTAGAGATGAAACACGCGAACAGGACCTACAGTATATGAAACCACGGAGAATCTGAAGCAATAAGAAAGACATTTAGCATCAGGAAAGCACAGAAGACATATGACCTCGCCTGTATGATGTCATTTTATCGTTGTTTCCCCCCCCCCAAAATAGTCTGAAATTGTTTAAATTTGCCATTTTTGATATTAATACAAAATTTTGACATCTTTACAAAAAACATTCGGGTTTAAATATGATGGGACATCTCAAATGAGGACATTAGATTTATTCAAAACTTTAAGAGGTCATCATGCAGTTATTTTAATTTCTCTATATATATTTTTCTAGAAAGTGAGAAGAATTATCTAATCTTTTTTAAAAGACAGACTGTTTACAAAGCAGCGCTATTTAAAACGAGTTTAGTATATATGAAATTGAAAGACCCGAAAGTGACTACGTGTATCTAGCAAAATGTAACATCTGGAAAACGAATAATACGTAAAATAAAGCGCCTGTTCATTGCGGCTTCCCAGAAGGAGATAACGTGGACAGTCTCGAGTGTATGCTCATTTTGTATGCATCAGTTTGACCTCAAAAGGAAGTCATGTTTTACGGTGTGTATAGTTAAACTGGAATTACAGCGACTTCGTTCAGAACGCTGCAAGCACAATCTAACCACTGCACATATTATGAAATGTGTTAAACTGCTTTGCTTCGAAAGAGAGAGCACGGGCTTCTGAATACAGAATTATTCGTATTTCTTTGTAAATCAATGCTACAGTACTTGCCCACAGAAAGTTATAAATGGAATTATGTAGAAAAGCGAGCTTGTTATATATATTAACTTTTTCTTGTAGTCGTTTTTAGGTGAGAATCTGATTGTATCTTCTGTTTAATTTATATTCCATTGCTTGGAAAGATAAAGGATTTTAATGACTTTCCAACAACCTCCTACAGTAATGTGAGAGGCAGCAGAGCATTAAAGGACTCGGTGGACACACATATGCTTCAGATTTATGGTGGAGCAAAAAAAACTTAACAACTGCTTAAGCAAAATGTGGAAAATGTCCCCTTCTGTCTTCAGTGTAAAGTTCTTAGAAGTGAATTCAGGATATTCTCAACACTTCCTTGCTTTTGAGGTTTAATCATTTCTCTTTTCTTTTTTCTGTCAGTATTTTTTCATCCCCTTGCTCCCAGATTTTCTCTTCACTGAATGCGCCATAAAATGAAGGTGAAGTTGTGCTCTTAATTTTGTATACAGAATGTCAAAGTCATTTGACAAATGAGGCGAGTCCATCTCTTATTAACCATACGGCACAGTTTATTAGATTCTAAAAAGCGTCCATCGCAGGAAACATTTCAGACAAAAGCTGTCTTCCCAAAATACGAAGGTTAAGAAAAAAATAAGCTGAAACTTTATTTTTTGTGTTTGGGAAGAATCGCTGACCTTTAATTGCATTTTATTTGCATCCACATATTTCAAATTTCTTTCCTTTCTCCCTCTTTTCTCTTTACAGTCCTACATGTTGGTTTGTGAGGTCACTTTAAATTCACTTTATCTTTTACAAGATGCAAAGAGTACTGACAGCCTTCATCCACTACACCGAATAGACTGCTGAACTGCAATTCGGTAGTTAAAATTCCACAAATGGGAATGTTAAATGGGGAAATTGGCAGTATTTTCCATGTTTTACATGAGTGCAGCAAAAAGCCAGGAAGACACCTGCCAATAATTATAGCACTAGCAATAGGGCAGCAATGAGGCTGAAACTTCACAGGTCTTCTTTTTCTGTACATCTGGTCAACATCTGACACACAGTGCTTTAGATCAGGTTGTAACTCATGGTTTAAGACAGCAGAGAAAGGGTGGTATTGTTGAAGCAAGGACATTGAACACAGGGAAACAGGGGACAGTACAGGGCAAGGCTTCTAACCAGTACTGTGTAAATGTCTGCAGAACAATTACCCATTATAGCAGCCCTTCCTGTTCCTCTTTCTCCATGTCCCTCTTTTTTGCAGTCTCGTGCTTTTTTTTTCTCATTCTACAGCATTTTAACTCAATCCTTAAACATCACACTTTTACTTGGCGGTCTGCAAACCTGCAGGGTGTATTTCACTCAGATAAACTGTACTAGGTGCAATGAAGCATGTGAAGCGAGACTGGTCTTGAAACCGGACAATGGAAAAAGCAAAAAAAAAAAAACAGATCCCAGTCTTGTTTTCAAAAGCTTCTTCTCAGGAATAAAGCAAACCATAAAACAGGGAGCCTTATGGCAAGCTCTGCTGTGCACCTCTAGTTAAGAGAGTGATTCTATGACTTACAGTACATCCCAGCCTCTATCAATTGCTCCTATAATATAAAGGACAGTATCAGTGTGCAATTACAGCATAAAGTAAACATTTTTACTGTTTTTACTGATTAGGAATGGTTACCAGCCACAGCATGTGACAATCAGAAGACAGGACACACCCATCAGATCCAATATAATTGCTCTAAACCATACAGAAGACAAGGAGCTCATTGTATCTGGCTCCTTACCTGATAGAGAGTGGAAAGGAAAGGAGAACAAGGTGGGGGGTATTATGTGTTGGGCTATGTCCTTTCTTAGAGTTTGCTGAAGAGCAGCTTGACCAACAGCACCCCAAGCATGAGGGTGGGGCTGCAGTGCAGGACAGAGCCCACATTGCGACCCCCTTGGCTGGCGCTGCGGCCCTTGGGCGGCCCGTTGCAGTCATCAGAGAAGCAGCAGTCCATCTTAACGCCCGAGTTGCTCTGGTGCGCTTTGTCGCAAAAGGACTTGTAGGAGCAGGACTTCATGACGGTGTCTAAAAACAAGCCACGACAAAAGCATTCCATGTTAATAAAAGACGGCGTGGAAGGAAATGAGGCAGAAGACACCAGGAATCCACTTTCTGGCCATTTCCTGGAGTGTCAGATGTTAAACACCTGAAAGCAAAGTCTTGCTTCAGAAGGAAGGACACTCTTCAAAGGCTAATGGGCACAATCTAGTGCTCATCACTGCGTAGTGCAGGGATAGTCACATATTGTTCCTTCCAATGCATTTTACAACCCGTTATAGCCAGATCCTTAAGCATGTAACATCTGACTTTCAAACAAGTCAAATAATGAAAGAGTCGGGTAGACCGCAGTGCTGTAGTGGATTGGATTAGAAGGTCCAGTATTTGAATGCCTTGCATTGTTCCAGGTAAAGTGCCTCTATATTTTAATCATTTCTCTCATATTCCTTTAACATGTTAACCGTGTAATTCCCATAGTTTGAATGTTATTGTTACCCGCAAATTGTCATCTAACCCACAAATTGTTCCTAATGCTTTGTATAAGTGCTACTTTCAGAATGTCAGCCATTGTTTTAAAGAAATTGTAGTCAGCCTTAAGAGACATCTTGATTTAGCCTTTTCAAGTTTTAACCCTTTGTTTGTCAGACCAGCTCCATGATCTTGACACTTGTCTATATTTTGTCATTGTATTTTGGTTTTGTATTATATTGTGTGCTGTACAATAGCTTCTACAATATTGTGAAGGCTTGTGAACAGAGACCAGTCCTTATTAATCTAATCCTACTATAAATCTAGAGGCTAATCTAAAGAGATTTAGAACATTTCTCCTTTTAAACAGACTTTAAATCACTAGATATGTGAATGCAAGGAGAAGCCTTCTTAAAAGGTGTTACTTGCAAAATGAGAAAATTTGTTGTGTTAAATCTTTGTTTTCAGTCTAAAATATTGATTCTGAAAACTGTCCAGTAATCTGAACCATAGATGTTACAAGTGAATATTATAGACTAATACTAACCTGATTGCTATCTTATCTAAGAAAATCAGCTATCATTTGGTACATTTTGTATTCGTATTAATTAGTATTTGTAATTAAAAAAGACCAGAGGTTTTTTCATTGTGAAGTACTGTAACATCCAAAAAATTGTGTGCAATTTCCTGTTAGTCTTACCTTCGAGAAACAAAGACCTGCTAAAGATTTTGATCATTTAAAAAAATGAATAAGATTTAAACCTCCCTTAATATAATCAAAGTGATCCATATCACATTTAAGAAGCTAATGATCTGTAGCTCTGAAGAGAAATGTTTGTGCAAAAGTGTTATATTTCTGATTTGTCTTTTTATTTATACTTTTTGAGTGATAACTGAAAAATAAGTAGCAATCTTTTTTAATCATTAGTGTTAAGTGATATGTTATCAATTAAATCATTTTACATGTTTAAAGAAAGAAGTATTAGAAAGCTTCTTTAAAAAAGTCCTAGCCTTCTCTAACATCACTGCCACATAAAAAGGCATTCATTTTAATAAAACCATAATTAATTTTAGGGCTCTGAATAGATAAAAAATGGGTTAGACAGAGGGTTAGGTTTGGTGCTGTTTCTGGAGTATTTATTTTAAATATACTACAGCTTTGGAAATGTACCCAGGTGCATAGTGGTTGTTCCTCTACTGACAATATGTCTGTCTTTTCTGTGGGGAATTACTCAAGGTTACGTTAAAGCCTTTCACTTAGTGCCATTGGTCTATCAGCAACCACAGTCTGAAGCTTTTGCTTGTCACTGATGACCACATCCACAAGGGCTAGCTAAAGGGTTAACCCCATTGGAAAAGTGTCCTTTTAACCTCTGCCATTTCCCCTTGGCTCCGGTGAGATGGTGATTTCTCCTTGCTCTTAGGAGTTAGATGTGTCAAAGTGATGTGGCTTTTCTGAAAAGCCATTTCAGCAGATTCTCAGGGTTCACATGTGGAGGGAGTTAGTGTGGGCTTAGTAATGAAATATCAATGGCACAGTCATGCTGAATCATTCTTTCCCAGTAAGTCCTCCCTCAGTGAGAAGCAGATCTGGTCGAAGCTATTAAAAGCATTGTGGTGACATTGAAACTTGGACTAATCAAAAGCCTTAGCCTGCAGGCCCAAGAGTTGAACAGGTTCCAGATGAAAATACAGAGTGAGGCATAATCTTCTGTAACCTCCACCATCTCCTACATACATTAAGAAGGCATGCCTGGATTTCTCTTCATAAATCTTGTGAGTGGGGGGGCATTTAAAAACAAGCAACAATCATAAGAAGCTTTCAACCAAGTTACCCCCTAAGCCCAAATAGAACAGTACAGTTCACGTACTGTATGCTGATTATCGAGCATAAAAAGAAACGCAAATCTAGATTAACCAGATCGCATGCATAATAAATGAAATGCATCTGATCTGACATACAAACCTACATTTGACACTTAAAAAATTTCAGATGTTCTCCGTTTTCTTTTCTTAAAAAAAAATAAGTCTTCGGGACAGATGCAAATAAAACCCTCTCTGACTTTTACAGTGATCAATCAACTGAAATATGTATACAAAAAGGGGAGTACATTTTATAACAGGAAACAGTAAATCTCTGAGCATGAGACACATGGGACAAAAAAAAATCCAAACTTACAAAATAATAAACCTTGGATTTTGGACAAATACCATTGTGTTTTATACAGTAATGTGAGTACTAGAATGATACTAGCATAGCTCTGTTTGGCAGAAAACGCCCCCATTATTAAAGTATGTACAGCCATGCTACATTTTTTAAATCTTATTCTCAAGATCATAGTAATTATGCAGAATAATAACAGTAATTTAACAGTACTTCCCTGGGGTATTGTTTTGCATCTGTTGCATGTCTAATAAAGGAAGGACTCCACACCCTAAGGATTCATATTTTAGACCGAACCTGCAGGTTATATGACGGATATTACCACTATCTGTAGAACTATACAGGAAGAATGTAAAATAGTCTGCATACTACTGTCACCTTCTGGGCTCAGGCTACAATTGCAACAGGGAGATGCTTTTCCAGTTACATTAAAGTCTTCATAGTTGAGTTTCTATTATGGCATTACTGTGCAAATAGTCTCCAGCTGGATGAATACAGTATGCTCCTACAACAGGTAATATAGTTATTGTATGACACAGCTAATTTCCTGTCTATTTACTCCTGTAGATCCAGGCCCTATACTCTTTTCTGTTTACGATACATCAGACAAAGGCCAATGTTTTTCCACTTGTTGTTCTAACATTATCGACATATGGAGTTACTAAGAATCAAAACACTCCTAATATTGCTCAATTATAACACAACAGAAGACTTAATGTTATATTTACAAACATTTGTGCAACATTTGGCAATTAGCATTAGCTTTGCTGACACAACAGTTTTACGAGGAACATAGAGCACTGCTCCATATTCCTCTCTGAGACACAGTGGCTGGGCAGGGGACTCCAGCCTGTTCTCCTTATACTTACTGGGCCCCGTGATGGTGGAGCAGGCATCTGCATACTGCGGGCAGTTCTGTGAGCCTTGCCGGTTACATTCCTCTTCGTTCGCCGCCACACAGGTGTGGCATTTCAGCCCCTCGCCTTTACAAACCGAACAAGAAGAGACAACTGATTTGACACTAAGCAGAACAAGTCATGTAATGATTCCGCATGGTTGAACAAAGGGGATCCCACCACTCGCTGCCATAAAGGGAAAAAAAATCCATATCCTGGGGAGAGAACAGGACGTCATCGGCAAACCACAACAGACTGCAGAATGCTTCAAGGTTTAGCAAGCACTCCAACCCCACAGCATAGTGCAAAAATATTCAATATATTGAATCAATAGTTTATCGGGCACATACTGTACATTATTTACATGTTAAAGACTGAGCAGAAAGGTTTATTGATTATTTTGAGAAGGACATTTTTGTGTTCTCCTCAGAATTCCGAAGCTTGTTTGGATGACCACAAAGGATGTGGTCAGTACGGGGATGGGAGACGCCTGTGATCAGATTTCCGCTGTAAGTATTGTTGGTAGACCAGTAGGTGGCGCGCTTCCCTAAGACCCAAAGATTCTGGACCAAAGCCCCAGTATGGCAACATGTGACACTGTACTGCGGTAAAATGCAATCTTTCAGATGAGATGATAAACCAAGGTGCTGATGACTTGGTGATGCACAGTTTGGAAGAGAAGGGGTGTTTAAACTGACAAAGGTCTAGACTGCACAAGGTCACTACACAGACCCAGAACCATCACATCACATCTTATCCATCTATTAAATTACAGTACTACAGCATGAAAAACCCCAGGAAAAAATGCATGACCAGAAAAACTAGTTCGACTTCTGAATGAAAATGCTCAGAGGTCATTGAACGGTACAGACAACATGTTCTTTGGGCCGAGGAATTTCTGAAGAGTGGCAGCACAGTGAATGCTGGGGTCTTTTATTCACTGTTGAATGTCATTCAGTTGCCCTTGACAGACCTAATGGAAAACAATGTGTGTGGAGACATCATGGTGAGCAATATACTGTATTACGTTGTTCAGGCTAACCAGTGGAGTGATGAAAGTGGAAAGAAATATCCTTAAACACAGGAACATCTCTTGTGCAGACTTAGGGCAACCTTACTACTCAGTGATATGTTTAGGAACTTTTACAACATCTTCACCCATCATTCCTACATTTGTCATTCCTGCTTTTCACAAGGTAATGTCCGTTTTGCACCAAGACAATGGGAGTTCTCACAGTGCTAGGAATACAATGGCATGGGTTCAAAAAATGTTGTTGAGAGCTTGTCAGGGCCAGCTTTTGTCTTGACCACAGAGGAATATTTCTGATACTATCAATTAGATGGAAGTGCACACGAAGAGTAGGAGGATATCCCACAGGAGCTTGTCCAGGCTGTTCAGTTCTATGTGTTCACACTGCTAGGGCTGTGTTAATGTTCAGGAAGGTTGTACCCAATACAATACTAACTTTTTGATGTTTTCATTTAATAGTGCTTTGAATTTTTTTCAATCTTTGATTGAATTTTTTTGTTCTCTTGTCATATTATGATATCTTTATTTAAACGTTTGCCTAAATCCTTTAGACTTCAGTGTTGCGTTACTGAAATGCATGTTAAATGCAATGATAATAAATTTAAGAAATAATTATTTTTAACAACGTTATAAAAATAATGTGCTTATTGTTTAAAGTCGCCCCCTGCTGGATATCATTGTATATCAAGCGAGACTGTCAGAACTAGCTCAATTCTCTGCCTCAGGTTTTGATTTAAATATTTTTAAGAAAGCCAATTACAAGATCTAAACATTTTCTTTAAAAGACCCAGCTCTGAAATTCTTTCCTTCTTACTCATATGTGTATACTGCAGTGCTAATCAAAGACTTTCTTGTCTTAGACATCTTATTATCAATGTTACAATACATGTCATAAGCGTTAACAATTTATTATAACTGAAAATTCAGGTAAAATAAATTAAACTAGATGTTTAGCAATCTTTAATTCACACTGATCAGAATCTCCTAAAACATGAGGTATTATAGTTGCTTTTATTGTACATAACAATTACCTATCAAATCTAACTTAATTATTGTCAGGTAATTATTGTCATAGTTGTTTATCTATCAATTTTTGTTTCTCTATCAATTTTTAAACAAAGTGTGTAATAGTTCAGTATACAGTACGACTGTCAAACCATATTGCTCCTGCATTAAGTAGTGAAAACACTGAAAAGAGCAAAGCACTGCAAAATGTCTAAGCCTTTTACACAGTGGTCTATATGTACATATATAATCAATACAAACACATGAGTAAACTAGAATGAATCTACTGACTGTAGAAATTAAAGAACTTAATCAGGATTGCTGATTAAACAAATTTCATGTTTCAGGTGATTCAATATAAAACAGAAACAGTACAATAATGGATAAAGTACAACAATATACTTTGCACAATTTCAAACTATTGTGCCTTTAGGCAAAAATAGTTATCTTAACCACAATTAACAGGATGAAACAAAAATATAGCACCCAATACATACAGTATCTAATGGAAAAAAAGTAATTTAGATTCAACATTTCGATTAATACAGAATACAGAAAATGAGAATACACTTGTAATTGGATTATTTTTTGTCATTGTTGTATTCTAAGATGACATATATAGTAGTGAGATACCAGGTTCAGTCTGTTGAGTTTTGAAATCAGTTTTAAAAAGCATTTAAGTAAGAGGAGCTGTTGAAGACAGCACCATATACTGTATCTACACACCTACTGTATACTGCACTAGTTGTCTCCTTCATGAAATGTATCTGATACAGAATTAATAACATATTGTGGGTTTACAGTTAGTGATACTTTGAAATGTACATGGAAATTTAATCTTTTTTTCCTTTTCCTCTGGACATTTCCCCTTTTCTGTAACAGGCTGATTTTTGCTTTACTGACAGTTTTAAAAGATTCAGTATTTCTAAGTTGACAGCTTGAATATTTACTGTACTCATGTGATTACTAGCCAGAGAGTAAGAAGGCCTTAGAAATAATGGGGCTTTTAGTTTTTGTATACAGGAAGTAACAATGTTTTGTCATTTCTAGAAAAAAAAAACATACTTTTTGTTGGGCTTTTATACCCTCTTTTCATGAGCTGCAAATGATATTTAAATAGTTGATGGAGCACTTTAGAGAGAGACAGGCTGTGCATTTAAGGAGTGATTGCACTGGCCTGCCCACTGTAATCGATTATCATTGGAGCAGCAGGATTCTGAGTCTGCCGCTTGAAAATAAATGACTAGCTCACTCCTTAAGAGAACACACTCCTCACTTAACAGCTTTCCATTCTGTAACAAATAATCAAATACTCACTCTGGACTGCGATGGAGGCCAAGACTAGCAAAACCAAGACCGTCCTCATAGTGCCGATAGTCCTCTAGCCGAATGCAGCTCAAAATGAGAAAAGAAAATACTGTCTGGTATTAAGGTCTAATTACTAAGCTGCTTCCCGTCTGAGGAGATCAACACTTGTGGATAATGCACTTATGAGGCAGTGTTTAATACTAGATCTTCCCTATAGATAGGCCTCACAGGTGTGACATGAGGGAAACGCAGGGCTTTCATGAGAGCAGCCTGAAGGTCTTTGTGAAAAAATAAATGGCACTGTAAATATTTTGATCGTTGTTTTCTTAAGTGAAAGCCAGACCGTAGTTTTGCAGTGTACAAACCCATATCATCTATACCTGTATATCTCCTGCATCACATCTTGTATCTTGGCTTTATTAATAATTCAAGACATTTAGCATTTCAATAGCATTCTGTAGCATATTATCTCATCTGATCCCAAAGTGCTTTACGTACTGTATAAGAGGAGACCCACTTAGACCACCACTATTGTGTTGGGTTCATATTATGCACCAACAGCCCCACTATGCAGCAGACTAGGTGGAGAAGTGAGAGATTAATTCACCATCTTAATTAAGCGCAAGCCTAAAGTGGAATTTAGCCAGGACACTGGCATAACACCCCTATTACAAACAGTGCCAATGGATCTGTAATGGCCCAGTGGTCAGGACTTCATTTTGACATGAGTAACATACCAATCCCTCCCTAGAGTGGGGGTAACCCCAGTGTTTTTTTCCACACAGGACGTTTTTGTTTTCCTCTCCTCTGTGGCCACATGGTTGACTACTGGTGTGAAATGTTGTCAAGTGCTGTATAATGCTGTAAACTGCCCTGTCACAAACTGTTACAGAGGGCACTGTAGCAAATGAAGATTGATTGATTGATTGATCGTCTTTTCCAAAGGACCTTGTCCCTGTACTGCACCCTTACTGGCGTGTTGGATTAGATTTCATTGTGGTCTAGAATGAAGAGTGCCACTTCTGGTATACTGACACCACCAGCAACCTGGTTTTCCCTGGATCATATTTACTGTAGCACCAACCACGCCCAGCCTTGCTAAGCTTATTACTGATGGGATCAGGCTAGAATATGGCAGCAGTGCGGTCAAAAATGATTAGCCCTTCTTTTGCCAAGCTGTTGGAATATAATAACCAGTGCTCTGATTCTATTAAGTAAACCAAAAAGTAGAAGACATTGAAGAGTAAACAATAGCTTAGAATTTTGTGAGGCTTGTGTTTGGTTTTGGTTTGCAACTCAAACTAAAAAATGAAGCAACACTAAATTCTTATTTTTTATAATTTTTTTATAAATCTTGGACTTCAGAATGTTTTCCTTAAAGTATCCCTATGTTAGGTGAAATACTTGCTTTTTCAAATTATATAGCGGGTTGGTGGGATCATAGAACCAAGGAACCAATGTCAAACCTCGCTAATTTATTAATATATTCCTTAAACATGACCTTGGAACCATGAGAAAAATTACAAACAAGAGAATGCATATGGGACCACCAAGCCCATTTAGTAGTTAACCAATCTAAGGATCTCAACCACGATCTCCAACTAAAGGAAGCCAGGACTAAAGGAACTAAAGGAAGCTAAGACTGCTTAGCAACATCCAACAATTTATTTTGTAAAGAAGTGCCTCTTGGTCTTTGTTTTAAATATATGTCCACATAGTTTCCTGCTGTATTCTCTACTCTGAAGTACACTGCTTTAAATTTGTTAAGGCCTCAGAGGAGCTGTGGACATACAATGACTTTGAGAATTGATTTGTTTGTTATGCTTACCAACCTCTTTTTTGGAATCGATAATAAGCAAGTAACATATTTTGCTGACCACTGTGCAGTATTTCTTTAACACAGGACTAAGTTTAGTTTCCTTGTATTTGATCTTTCTTATGAAGTGATCCGGACTAACACGTTAATAAGTGCATTAGCTCATTTCCAATCTCTGCATAAAATCGATTGTTTCCACAGTAGAGAGTACTTAAGATTATTCTTTTCAAAGCTATATTTATGGACCCGTCTGGTTTTCAGTCCCCTGGTGAATGTTTCCTTGACAAACCAGATTACACTGCCCTTTCTCACAAGGGTAATCTCACTCATTGCTCATTACAAATTGTCACTGGCTTGACATCCACTTGGTGATTGTCATATGTAATTATTCTTGAGTGTAAGAGGATTCTATGACAGCCCTGACCCCAGACATGGTACGATAAAACTAAAACCTTTTTACATACACTCTGCAAAGCAAGCATTTAGTGTAAAAGCTATAAAATTCATTGCAGCAACTCGGAAGGAAATACTTTTTCATATTTCCATTCTCTTTTTCTGTGTAAATGATGTTATTACCCTGTTTGGGATTTTGTTATTTTGTCTCTAGATTATTATTTAAGAGCATGAGACTCTTTTGGTTAGTAATTGTTAAATGAATAATTACCAACTACCAATTACCATTTAAGATTCTCATTCACCTGTTCTTTTGATATATTTCCATGGAAACAGCTTCTTTGGCCACTTTCATATGATAGATGTGCCAGAGAAAATAGCATTTTATGGTAACCCCTTACTGTACAATACTGATGCAATTCTCCTTGGTATATTTTGTCACAAATCCAACAAAAATTCATTAATGAAAATTAAATAATGTAATGATGTGAATGACCTATACCACGCTTTGAGAAATCTGTAGAGAACAACAGCATTGATTGCTGTAGTCATTGAAAATAACTGTTTTTCAGTAAAGGTATATGTAATTACAGTCCAGCTCAAATATACTTCTGATGGAACTACTACTTATTATTCCAGTAGACATATTAAAGTAATATTCCAGTAGCCCTGCAAAATATTTAGAAATACACATGCAACAATACATGAGCAAATTCATTTTACATCAAGTTGGTGGTTTACAGAAAAACAACTAAATAAAGCACATATTACAAGCAGATTCTGAAAGTTGGTGATAACTATGATAATTTTTATTCAGGCAATGAGATATGGACAAAAATATATATTAGTAAACATTATAATTTCATTACATCTGTGTATGTTTCCACTTTACAAATATTAATGACACTAAAAAGTTTTTTTGCATATAAAACATACACGATCATATGGCAGCAATTCAAAAAAGAAAAAAGAACATATTAGTCACAGCAACAGATTTTCTATACTCTGTGTAAAATTAACAATACTGTTTACATTTGGCACAAAGATAGCGAAGTGTTTTGGCAGTTGAAAATAGTGTATTGATGTGTCACACGGCTGATGTAATTAAAAAATTGAAGTGCATTAAGAGTAAATTTGCATGAGTATTGCTGGAGTGATGTCAGTTTTGACACTGCATCAGGTCTTGAAAGGTTTCCTTGTTTAAATCTGGCATTTTTGTTAGAAAACAGGGTGAAAATTATACAATACGAGCGTGGCAATTCTTGCAGCTAGCCCATGCAGTCTTTAGGGATGGGAGTCATTCTGACTCAGGCTTAAATCACAGGAGAACTTTCTATCAGAAGAAATGTAATTGAAAAAAACATCAAAATGTGCCTCCCTGAAGCTTCTACAAAAATAGTGACAATAATGGAATCGTATTTTCCATTATTTCTTATTTTTCCTTCCGGAATTTAGCTTTTCTTTAGCTAAATTTTAATCTAAGAGATTATTTTACAGGCATACAGTGTTCAATAAGTTCTTTGGAGGATATGTGCTTACAATAAAAAAACAAACAACAAATAAAACCAAATAAGAATAAAAATGGTTTAAGATCAAGACTAGGCTTTGTGAATTTAACAGTAAAATACAGGAGCTCAAAGTATAGCGGACATTGTTCAGGAAATAATGAGATTAATGTTTCTAGTTTTTAAATTAGCATTATTTTGTCCTCACCTACTTTGCCACTTGAAAAGCCAATACTTAGCATCATAAAAAACTTATTTGAGAATTATTTGATGGCAAATACTGGGGGAGAATGTGGGCACACAAAGTTATTTTTCTCATCTTTAGGAGGGATGAATGCATTTGTTTAAAAAGATCAAATAAAATCAGTCACCAGCAAGATAATAACCACTTTAAATAATAACAATAAAATTACAAAAAATAATACATTTTTAAATTTGTTCTTATAAAAAGTGTTGGAACCAATACCTTCTATTACATTTTCAATTTTTTTCACCATACAATTGTTCATATAGACACACTTACAGCACTATCTCCTGTGGCTTACAGCGGTGTCATTGCTGATAGTGGTTGGAGTAGTTTAGAGTTGAAATGTAACTGCAAGAGGTGTGAATGTGTTAAAATGTTCTACAGGGATCTATAACAGTAAAAAGAGACATTAAATGCATTAGTTCCCTTCCACTCCAAGCAAAACCAACAGGAACTCAGCAGAGCAACAGAGTATAAGTTGTGATGAGTGGTGAATGAAAATCATCAAGCATTGCTTTCACAATGGAACATGAAAATCTTAAGTCATTCTGCTCGTTACAATAGCTCTCTGTATTTCCAACATGAAGTATTTCCAAGTCATAGCTTTTCATAATAAGGAAATAAAAGTTTACTAATCATTCTATATACAATTAAGATTTGTAAGTGAAGAGGAAAAAAAAATTAAAAGAATTTGGTCACCATTTTTTTTTCATTTTAAATCCGACTGTAGCAGCAATTTGGTTGCGTAAACATTAGGATCAAGCTTTCCCTGTGCCAGAGTACAGGTGCTGATCTGGGGACGTAGTCCCCATTCATTTCAGCTCTTTCCTTTTTAGTTTTGTGAAACATTGCGAACTGTCAGGAGACCCCACTTCCCAGTTCTCACGTAACATTTCAGCTGGCATCAAACCTTTAGCAACTTTCAAACATTAAAATTCAAAATTTAAAAATGGATGGTTTGCACATATTTTTATCCATCCGTAGTTAGTGGATGAAAATGAAAGACCGATGAAACCACAGTTCTTATTCTATTAAATCTGCAGCTGAGCTTCCAGCGATTTGCCAACGGCAATCAAGGAGCATCAGCAAAAGCAGTCCAAGGATCACAATCTTCATGTAGAAATAAAAAAAAATACAAGCTCTTATAGTTTCTCTCATTTTGTTTGTTTTTCAAGTCTTCATTCCGAGAACTGCTGCTAAATATTAATATCAGATGACACCGCATGTACAAGTGATCTGTAGTTGGGGTATGCTTCTTTTCCTAACTGAAAAAACCTACTGCCTAATTTAGCCAGTGCAGAGGGGCTGATTTCATTCTATGGACAGAGCTGATCACTAGGTAAGGCTAGCTGTCACATGCACAGTGTTGAAGAGGGTATTTTGGGAGTGGGTTCAGAGAGTGGCAAGAGCCAATATAAAGGATTCAAACTGGAGACTTAATCAGTTTTTCCCAGTTTAGCAATCAACTCATCGCAGATCTTGGTGAGCTCCTCAATTTCTTGATTCTAAAATGAAAAGATAAGAAGACAGACACTGATTAAACACTGTCTAGCCAAAGCAATTTCAGTTCCATCCAAGACAGATTTCATACAGTGAAACTTTAAAAGCTCTACACAAAATGTTATGGGTTCATGTTGTTCATTACTGTTCATTTTTGTAGCATTTACATACATGAAGCAACCAAGTTATACCAGGTAGTTACATCTGAATTTTGTAAAAAAATAAAAAGAGGCTTACAAAAATATTAAAATACATCAGAGTTCTGCAGCTGAGCTCCATTATATTAGTCTGATTACATATTTAAAGTTTGGAGCCTCTGCAATGTTTTATTTTTCAGTTGTTTAAGACTCGGCCTCATAGTTACAATTTCTGTGTTGCATGGGAAGAATAAGGACTAACTGTACAGACATGCTCCTCCACCACACCCACTTATCCTAGGAAAACAGTGCCTTACAGAAGATTTACCACAGGCTTGAGAAGCAGTTAGTCTGTTGCCGACACCACTGGAACCCTTCAGATACCCGGCGAATCACAGGAGCCACTGTTTCACTGAAGGCTTAACGAGGCCTGGCTGACTAACACTCAACCTAACCTAGTAGCACACTGCCAACTGTGAGCCGTTGCATAGGAATTCCTGCTCCCTGTTAGCTTGTGACATGACCCAGGCTGAAACCACTGCAGCCTGAGTGAGATTTCACTGTTTAGTGTACTTAGATTTGACATGTTTCTTGGTCAGTAAAAGAGATTGCTGTCTACTTGTCCTATCTGGCTTTTTCCCTGAACTGACTTACCTTCTGTTGAAGAGCCCTCTCCAGGGATTCCACTTTCATCTGCTCCTTCCTGAGACTGGCATGAAGAGCCACACTCTCAGAATTGGCTTTGGAACGAACCTGAGCAATTTCTTCATTGGCCCTTCAAACACAAGACAGATGCAAATGTTTAGTGACCCACTGCTGTTTTCTTTTCTAATGTCTCGTGCTCCTGCTAAATGATAACACCAATCTTGGCATCTTGCACCAGCAGAAACAGTTGTGGACGGCTGGTCTCACCACATTGATCTCCCCACACCACACAAGAAACCTCTGTTTTCCTTCCTGTGAGTCCCATCTTATTTTAATATTATTTAATTGGGTTTCTACTACTATCTATTTCGTTCTTTTTGTGAAAATTAGAAACTAATAAAAAACTGATACTAGAAAACAGTCACTGAAGGGAAGGCGAGCTTGTCTCTTTCATTCTCGTTTATTGCAAGACTTTGTTTCAACTAAAACTTTGTTGTTTCTGTTATCATCAGCAGCAAGACTAGTAATTTAAGGACACCAAAGGCTGACTGGCTCTGATCTAAACTAATTCAATCTCCAATATGAAGAGCACTGAATTACCAAAACTATTAAAATATTTATATATGGTAATCAATATGGAATTTCAAATTCGTGAGGAAAGTCAGACCCTAATCCTACTTCAGCTCTCCTACAGTACATACAGTACATGTAGTACAGTATATCACGTCCCAAACTCCCCTTTGCGCATTTCCCTCACACCACTCCTGCCACCCCATCTTCACCCTTCCAGCAGCTCCCCTAGTTCATTCCTCACAAAAGTGAGAGGGGTTCTGTCACCCATACAGTTAGGCTGCTGTTCCCTCATCTAGGTGTGTTTTTCTGAACAAAATCTAATACATTTCATATCTATATCACATTTATTAAGATCAGACTATATTACTGAAATAGTCCATACAGTTTCACTTCTTAAAGTTCTGATTATTTCCCATTTGTCCTTTCATTATATATACTGTATACATATATAACCTTCTGGGACTATAAAAGACAGAAGAACAAAACATTTTTGTAAATGCCAGCTTATGTGTTTTTCATTAAAAAACCCTAGCTCATTCTATCTCTAGCAAATAGAGAATTCAGCAACATTCATCAGATGAAGATGGCCTTTTAGACAAGTATCCTGTATCCCGTTTTACTTACTTGTCAAGTTTTTCCTCGGCATGAATCTTGAGAGTCTGGTACCGCTGCTCTTCCTGCTTCACTCTGGCCAGGTACTCCTGGGCACACTTCTTCAACACCTCCTCGTTCTGGGACACAGATACACATAGAAAATGAAAAGCTGCTTCACTCTGCTTTGGCCTGGGGGAAGGTTATCTCTGGCGTGCGATAACAATAATAGTTAAGGAGATATGTCCTTCCACATCTCTCAAGGCTATTTAGCTTTTTGTGGATTGTCTCTACTTCCGATAAATGAAATTACATTTGGGAATGAACTTGCCTCTCTTCTTCACTGCATCACTGTGTTGTACAGCTAGAATGTATCTATTAGCACTGGTCAATGTCAGGAAAGACCACTTACCTTCTTGAAACCCTCGAGGACTCCCTTCATGTTCTCATACCTCCGGAAGAGGTCAGACAGGGAACGCTCCACTGAGTTGAGGTCTGCGATGGCTTGTTCCTTTTCCAGGGTGAGCTGCTGTATGTTTTTCTGGGAGTTCATATTTGTCCTCTGCTCATCCTCTACAGAATATATAAAAATAAAAGGACAGGTTTTAAGCCCAGCAGCTCTTCTTAGCCAGACAGCTGTGCTTTAGAGTTTTACTATCAGAACAGAAGTAAAAACAGAAATAAAAAAATGTGCTTTCACCTCTTTGGCCTCAGATGTCAAATAAAAGTGGTGCAAGAAAAAAAAACATACTTTAGAAAAAGCAATCAAGCTCTACAAATTTTGAACTAAATATAACTTATTTATTTTCTTTAATAATGTAATGAAATAGTTTTCATTTAATTTTGACATTTTTAACTAATGAGAAAAGTGATGCCATGATAAATCCTCTTGCTGGCTGGGAGCTTTCAAAGCAGTAAACCCATTCAATACAAACTCAAACTCACCTATCATCTGAGCAATGGTTTTCTCATACTCAGCCACAATTTTCCTGGAAAGGAACAGAGGTAGGATTAAAATGTTTTTTATAATGTACTTGTTGTTCAACAGTATTTAAAAATCTTTATGTTTTTGTTCAACAATGTATTCCGTATGTTCAAAATTGTATCTACTGATGACAATCATGTACCTCATTTCTATGACCTCTTGTCTGCTTTCTTCATATTTCCTCTTCCATTCATTTACTTCAATTTCTTTAGTTATGATCTGTAATAAAGGGACACATGGCTTAATAAGGAAGTATGGCTCCCACAGAAGAAAAATGAAAGATTCATATTCATAAATCAACAATTTATCGGACTCTAATGTGCATACGAAGTTTGATTTTAGAGAAAGATGAGGAAAATGATTTCACAAATTCAGGCTGTGATAGCACTAACCAGATATTGTATGAACCAAGATTCAACCAAAATTCCAACTCTCCTCCATCCCCACCCCCTCCCAGAACCTGAAAGATGGCTTTCCATTGGCCAAATACAAACAGTGTCTGGTAAACCTAGAACACTTATAAAGAGAGGAAACTGAAATTTTCTACTGATGAGCAACAGATTTCAAACTGGCTGAGCCAGGTGTTATTTTGATATAATCTGGGGCAAAGTTGGGCATATACTACTGCTGGGAAAGACGCACGCTCTGTTCCTCTTTACCTCTTCTCGAATAAGGGTGAGGACTGCCATTTTATCAGCCTCACTGATAGAGATGGTGTCTAAAACTGGACTCCCTTTGCCTTGGCCTTCACTTCCTGTCAGCTTTGTGCTTTTGGTTTTTGATGGGACATCATACTGTGGAAACAGCAGAAACACAAAGTCAGTAAAACAAAATGCATTTTAATTATATTTACTTAAGGATCAATATCTGCTGCTGCAGCATCACCTTCAATAGTAAGATATTTTATGTCACATCCAAAAAACATGCAAATATGATGTTAGTATTTTGCTGAAGGCAACCGATGGATTTTAACTGAGAACCCTCTCATTCTTTCTTATTTAGTATTATTCAGTCTATTTGAATGTTCCATCTCACTTTTATTTCCTCTACAGATAGGAAGAGGTGTGAATTCAAGGGTGGCATTGAGGTATGTTGGTGATGTCTAATTCTAAAAGCCCACATAAAAAAAAACAAGATTAAGAAACAGAAAGCCTTTAATAGTTGACTGGGGAAACGATGGATCTCTGCTCTAGGTTCCTGAGCCCTCTGTGAGCAATCAGTGTTTCGTTTTGGCACCACAACAAATACAGAGAACACTCTCTTTTTGATAACTGGGCACATTTCTAAATAGTGTAAATGGTATGATATTATGATTAGACTTTCTTACATTGTTTCATTCAGATGTTTTCATACTTTATCTGTGCATAATTATTTGTTATACAGTCTAAACACTAAGAAAGTATTTCTTTGTATACAGAAAATAAATTTAAGAAAATTTGAAACATCATTGAATATTCCTACCATGTTCACTGCAGCTAAACCATCAGTCTATTAGATTCCTATTAATCAATAGTGTTTGTTCTCTAAGTGTCCTTCACTGGATTATGACACCGATATTAATCCACACTTTGATAATCTCCTTTATTAGAAAATCCTAATCCCTTTGTCACCAGCTGTCCTACTAAAAGAAAAGAGATTTTCTAAAGAGCTACATACATGTAGGAGCTAGAAAATCTGCAACACAAAAATGTTACATTTTCCAAATTGTGTTTGCATTTGATAGGATTACCTTAACATCACCTAAATAAAAAGTGACAAGCACTTTCTCTATATTGTTAATTATTGGTAAATATTTCTACTGTGAATTTTGTTCCCTGTCCACTCTCAGAACTGTCAATAATCATAAACTTAATAAAAATAAACTTTGTGAAGCACTAAATATATAGAAACCAAATCTATCCAGTGGTAAGTTTCAAATTTGTATGTTGATCAGATGTGTTTTTGAAAAAAAGGACAAGTACAATTTATTGATAAGCTACTGTACAGTATCATCAGGGACACATGAACATTTTGGTTAATGTTATTCTAATTACTGTGTCACTGATCAAGACATATAGTTAGATACATAAATTACTTAAAAGGTTAAGAGGTGAAAAGGCCCTAAAATATTTTAATAATATGAAAGCAAAGTAACAACAAGTTATTATCTCCATAGTAACATCCCTGTAAACATAATGTACCCAGAGCTAGATAACTGTAACATTACAGAACTGTCGTATTTCTTGCAATGTTTTTAGAGATTGTAAGATTACAACTGATGTGCTCCTCGTACACTGGGAAAAACAGTAGAGGAAACATCCAATGGTAAGAATGTCAAACAAATCCTTCTAGGCCTTAGTGAATTATACAAATGCTATGCTGTTTACCAGGGAAAAATGCATGTAATAGATAAAAAATCTTGACTATTCATCTTATGTGTGAGAAAAGTCAGAATAGAAAGTTCAGCAGAATGTGAAGTGCCTGTGACAGGATTTTTTTCTCTAAAAAATACGGTCCACCATGCTTGCACTGGCATGAATGCACCATTCATGATTTGCATGAATGGTGAATATTGACAGTCAACAGAGACACACCATAGCTTTCTTACAATGGATAACCTACTTATTCATTATTCAGAAGAACACATGCTCCTACTGTATACACTATGTTGTAGAATTCCTTTCCATTTGATTAAATAACTGATGGGCGTTTTTTTATAAGCTGGGAAGATGCACTGAAGTAGGTCACAATTACCCACACTATAAATTATCACAAACTCTATGCTATGACAAGGAGATAGCCATTTTCATTATTTTGACAGTAGCTGGCATATTATGTTCCCTAACATACAATGAGTATTTGAAAAGGTCACAAACGATAAGAGACCATTTGGTCTAATTTGTTTTTGTTGCTAGAGCAAATCCATGGCATTTCTTAAAAGAAGACAGGGCTTCAACAACCTGCCAGAGCAGCTGGTTCCATACTCCCATAAGCTTTTGTTTAACGAAGTGTCTCCTGTCCTGAGTTGTAAATCACAATCTCTGTCACTTCCATGTGTGTCCTCTGGTTTGTGTTTCACTGAGGCCTCCTGAGGAATTTGAATTGAATTGGGTCCGCTCCTAGTCTTCTCTTTACTACATGTAAAGGACTCTTCTGGAACTGACACTAATGTTCATACTCTGGAATTGGACTGGAGCTGCACGTTCATGTCTCATCAGTTTACCTCCACCTAGTGGAAAGGCACTGTGGCTGCTGTTTTTTCAGTTAATATTAATGATAGTACCTTCACCCCAATGCATTTCAAAGTGTTCCTTCTCTATGTCCTTATTTATAAAAGGAAAGCTTTTTCTCATCCACTGCTGTAGTTTAGCAACCACCTGGGGGATGTTCAACAGCAGCCCTACTACATAGCTGATCGGGTAGAGAATTGAGAAGCTTTACAAACTGAATAAAGGGAAAAGGTTAGCTCGGCCAGATTGTTCTGGCCCAGAGGTGAATTCATCCAGAACACTGGAGCCATTACTCATATTCAAACAGTGCCATGGTACCTTTAATGACCAGTACCACAGATGATCAGCTCATCCAAAATTGTCATTTACAAGTATGATATTCTAGGATTTCTTCCAATATCTAACTACAGTATAAAAAGATGACTAATAATGTTTTAATTATTTACGAGATATGTACTCACCAAAGAGCAGGAATCTTTGCATTCCAGATCATCTGGAGTGTCAGAAATTCCCATTTCAAGTCCTGTGGGGAAGTAAGTTGTCCAACTTATTATCATTAAAACCACTGCACATAATAATCATAAGAAGACCTGTAAACCTAAGACTGGATTAACTTTCATACAATTTGACATATGGAAGATTCTGCTCTAATAAACTGCAATTGGTAGAGACCGATTTTCGGTTTTCCTTTAAATGAAAACACAACATTCCAATATTACTCCTGTCAGTGATTTTGAACCTGCAGTTCATTTAGATTTTCTTTGAAGGGAGTTTCTATTTCAGTGCAATTTCCCAGTCCACAAACATTTCTCCTAACTATTAATACCTGCTAATTGATGAGCTGGTGGAAATGGTTTACAGATTTGATTCTAATTGAATTCCTTCAAAGAAATCAGCAGAGGGCAGCATTGTGCAAAGGTTTATAGATAACTTTAAGTGCTTTACTGCTGTGACCACTACTACTAGATTAAATTCAATTGAATATCAAGCATGCAATCTACTATCCCTGTCTATCAGGTTTTAGACCAATATCACATTTAAAGTTAAAATGATTATCTTTTGCATGCCTATGTAATATGTCTGTGGTGCTTCCATTATTGGGTAATTTAATTGTCAGCCTTCAAGAACAAGACAATGCCACTGATAAGCAGAAGAAGTCATGTACCAGATACCAAGACAAATAAAATTACAAAACTGGCAACAGTTTAGGATTATCACCATGAAAACAAGAATGCAGTAACAGAACACGTATTAGCTGCCAATACCAGAGTATTGCTAGAAAATGGTTTTCCATTCTTACATTCTGCTGACTAAAACAGATTGATCATAATAACTGTACTTGTTTTTGTTGAAAAACAGCCCTACTGTAAATCTGTCTGGGAGAGCAGGGGAAGAGGTATACTTGGAGACCCTGTCACTGATTTCCTTAGAGTGCCTTCAGTCAGGAATCTGTAAAAAGTCATTCATAGCCTCTAGGTGTTTTTTAGAATATGATACAATGAACACTGGTACATCATTTCTGCTTGGTAAAAAATTCTGTTAGAGCTCCAACTGCATGTTCCACATCTATCTCAGATCATGTTCGTGCACTTCCTCAAACTGCACTCCCAAAAAATGCATGTCTGTGATTCTGTAACCTATACATTATTCCCAACACTGTTTCTATACTGTCCACAACAGAAAATCAGATCACAACCATGGTTTATAAGAGACTTCATTGTGCCTGCTGCTACAGCTTACTGTAGTGTAATATATATCCTGCAGGTCACCCTGTATTAATTCTTATAGTATTGTTACAAACTGCTCTGATATTCTATTTCTGCATTATGGTGTGTAAACTAATTGTAACAATTTAATGAAAGAAAAGAAACGTATCAATAAAAAATTGAGAAAAAAGAGAAGAATGGCCATATAGATGCTGTGTATAAAGCTGTAACATGTACAACCTGTTTGATACTTCTATTTAAAGGGGAACTGCAATCCCAATTTTTTCAGACCAGTTATTAAGTCTTGGTTTTTAAAAAAATAATGTATTGACATTATAGAAAATAATACAAATTCTGAATTAAACAAAACCATGAACTTTGTGAAAGTAATGTAAGTCGCCATGTTGGTGCAAACTCGCATTCGAGTTCCCACAAATTACGACGTGATGCAGACCTTCCTGCTCACTAGTCTACGTAATGACTAATGTACGGAACCCGGGAGGGCCCATCAGTAGGGAAAAAAAAGTTATATCGAGGGAACGATTTGCAATTCATGGGCACGAAATAACTAAATCGTTCCCTCGTTTTCTTTAATTCATGCGCACGAAATAACTAAATCGTTCCCTCGTTTTCTTTAATTCATGTGCACAAAATAACTAAATCATTCCCTCGTTTTCTTTAGTTCGTGCGTACAAAATAATGTTTTCTAACTTGTTCCTTCGCAATTGGTCAACAATAAAGTCAATCACTTCTTCTATGTCTGCATATCACCGTCGGTAGAGCCCATTAAACCCGAGAATCCTCTTCAGTTGCCGCTTGCTGACGGTGATGCCCTGTAGTTCAAGAGTAGCTACAATGCCCTGATATCTCTAGGAGCTGGGGATAAGGCTGGCGTTCAAAAAGCTTTCCATGTGCACACGACTACCATGACACAAAGGCAACAAAGGAAAGAGAAAACGTAATTTCGTACGCATGAATTAAAGAAAACGAGGGAACGATTTAGTTATTATCTGCACACTAACTGTAAATCGTTCCCTCGATATAACTATTTAGTGCGCACAAATTGTAAATTGTTCCCTCGATATAACTTTTTTTTCCTACCGATGGCCCCTCCCGGGCTCCGTACTGATGTATTGTGATGTAGAACAAATATATATATAGGATGAAATGTGCAGCAGACATTTCACTGCACAAATTCTACTGTGATCTGCATGGAGAGATAACAAGTAAATAGCATTTGTCGGCAAAACCAATTGAAAGCATGATTTCTATGTATTATTGGATTTCTATTGGATTAAAAGATATGTATTCACAAGCCTGATTGTTCACAATGTTGTAGGGCCACACAAATCTGTCACCGGATGTTTTTTGCTGCATTCTGAATCGCAGAACATGGCGCTATGCACACCTGAAAATTTCAGTTATTTTGTAATGGAAATTAGTTACTGTGTACATTTTACTTTTATTGCAGTTTGAAATGCACTCAATTCTGACTCTTTCTGACCCTGAGATACGAAAATAGAGTTACAGTTTCCCTTTAAATATAGGCATGAGAACAAACCTAATCTAAAACTGTAGCTTTCAAGTGCTTTTCCCAATTTGCATGTATTAATGCAGCACAGCTGAGATGTCTCAACAAGTTAACCCATTATTCCATTGCAACTTAACCCATTATTTCATTACCTTTTTACAACTAAAATGGAGAAAAGCAAGTGATTGCAGAAGAATGACTGTGCCGATTTCAGTAGTAAGATAAAATTAAATTTATTATATTGATTTCTCTTCCCACTCATTCCTCCCTCAGCAGTTCCCTTAGAGGGGAAGGTAGGGACTCTATGAATAATGCAGATGTAATGCCTGACATATACAACTAAAAATGCTACAGTTGAATTATTTGGGGAGGAAAACTGACATGAGAAATGTTTAAAGGTCTTACATTTACTATTTACATTATTTAACCAAAGAAGACAGTAAAATACTGAGCTGTATCATTTAACAGTTGGTAAACTGTGGTTTTCATCACTAGTCACGCAGAAAAAGTAGGCCTTGTTGCCATGGTGAAGTCTTCTCTCAATCCATGGAATTATAAGTGAGTTTGTGCTACTCATCTGCAGTCCTTGCCTGAAGACTAGAGTGATCTTATTTTATCTTGCATAAAAAAGGAGAAGAATAGAAATCTAAAGGGTTCTTAATGCCTCTACATATCTAGGATTATTTCTGTAAGGGAAACAAGCTACAATATGCAATAGTAGTGTCATAATAAGAAAGACAAATCAAATAGTTTTAAAATAAATGTTCCAGTTGTCTTCATTAGAATCTTCTACAAGGCTACATGCTAACACAAAAAAATATAAATTACAAGAGCCCAATTGATTTGTTTGGTTACTACTAGTTGCTAATAGTCTATAGCTTTTCTTTTTCTTGTGTAAACAGGTGTTGTGAAAACATCAGCATGACAATTAAATAGGGCTCAGGAGTAGGGGAGTGTTTACACACAGGATAATATGGTTATCCGTCGGTAAAATGTTCTTTCCATTAGTACCAACATCTCATCAAGTGGAGAATTCTACACAGTGAAACCAAAGTAGGCCTGTCAGAGGAAGTCAAAGTCAGTGTCTGATTGTAGAGTGAAGAGAGGTGATCCTATTCACAATGTGCCTCTAGAGCAAGGTTCACACCTCAATTTCAAGTTGTCAAATAAAATTGTAAATCAAAATACAGGCAGGATGAACCCATGGTAACACAACTCTAAGAGAAGACAGGACGTACCCTCACTGGACAGTTTCTTTGTATTGACTGAGTTTGGCAAGTTGGAGCACTCGAAGAATTCCTCCTCATTTTCACCCTTCATCTCTGGCTTTCCAGGTTTCTGGCTGGAAACAGTGGATGCAAGCTTCTCTTCGTCTGTGGCATGCCCCTCACGATGAGCGATATCAGGGACTTCTGATACCACAGGCTCATTGTCCTGTCAATAGCATGGATACATGACACTTTATTCTTGCCTAAGCAACTCACTTCAAAATGAGCTGTCAAAACAGAACTTGTCCCTGTATAATCTCCTTTGTTCCAAGCTACACAATGATTCATATTAAAGGACATTAATCTTGGATTAATTAACTTGGAGACTTGAGGTACCAAAGGGCATTGGCCACCTCAAATCAGGAAATCTATTCAACATCAGCAAGAAAACAGGGACCTGGGAAAACATGATAAAATACATTTAGGAACATTCGAGACAGAAAACAAGAGATGCAGTATGTGTAGTAATTGGTATTATAAGGTTGAAGACCAGGAGTCTGGAAACAACTGCCTAGCCACATGATTGAAGCTGACTCCAGGGGATGGGAATTCGATCTCATATTGTTGAGATTAGATCATAAGATCATCATTGGATCATCAACCTTCTAGCAACCAAATCTGGAAGAAAAGCATAATGGTTTTCTCTTGTTTGTAAACTTTCTTATGTTCTGATGCACAGATTTTTCTCTTACCACACAAAAAAATTGTGCTTATGCTTAATATTCTAACATTGAAGAGAATGAAAACTTGAATGAACAAACCTAAGCTAACTACAATGCCACAATAATAATAATAATAATAATAATAATAATAATAATAATTATTATTATTATTATTATTCACGCCTATATAGCTCTTTTCAGGACACTCTTCACTTTTTCAGTTGCCACTGCCACTCTCAGAAACCCCCTTTTAAAGTGTGTTGGAGTAGGGAACAAGCTACCAAGACATGAGATTCCTAGATCAATTCGCTACTAACAAACAGAGAATAAATCTTAGCATTTTGTAACCTTCCTTATTTTCTATGTTCTAAAAGGGGGCTCTCCTGCACAGGCTTTCTCATAGGAGTAAGAATAAAGAGTAAGATTAAATCACTGTGTATGCCTGTTAAGTGTTTTTCATTACCTTTCATCTCTCTCTAGTGTGTCTAAAGCTGAGGGAGGCACTGTAGGCCTTGGTAACTTCATTCATCATAAGAACCTACTGAAAGTTCTAGTTTTACCACAAGAAAAAAGACCTGCCAGTCCTGTCATTACAACACTACAATAATCAATTGCAATGAAAATCCTTCTGTATTTCTTTGCATACTGGATATGATGAATTATAGAATGAGCTCAATTACATGACGCTACGGAACGAATAGCATATACACAGATGCACATACTGTACATCGCACTGAGTTTCTGCCCAGGATTTTGTTGCCTGCTGGGCTTTTGTTAGAATGCCGCCCAAATGCATTACACATAAATAGGGTGTGAGTCATGCACTGTCAGGATGCCCAGCAGGGAGACAAAGAGAATGACAAATTAGTCACCGCAAAAAGAGAAATCCCCTTCCTAAAAGAACTCCCGCAGGTACATCATGTTGTAAAAAAGGACAGAATAAATAACAGCTTTATCGTGGGCGTGAGAACTTTTCACTGGTGTGCTGAGGAGCACCTGAAAAGTGCACAGTACCAAATGGATGCATGTGAACATGTAAAAATTAAACACTAATTAGGGTTTATATTAAAAATGTAGCAGTGTGTGTATCATGTGAAATTTGGTATCATATTAAATAAATCTCGGATTTAGTTTTTGTATATTTTTAGATACTGTATATTTTTGACACCTGATTAAAGGAATATTAATGTATGTGCATCAGGTCTTTTTAATGGAAACTGCTGACTCTGTGTATTATTTTAAATTAATTCAAAATACATTGACTCTGTACTGTTATTCATTATTATGTAACACTGCATTTGGGAAAAAGAAAGCCCAAGCACTCTTTTCCCAGAATAAATTTCATGTCTCACTCCAAGTACTGTATGATTTCAGAGATACAAGAGAGCTTCTGACATGATTTATTGATTAAAAACACTTTATTGGATATCTGACAAGAAAGCTATTCTTTAATTCTAAAGTAATGTTGATTTTTGGTACTCAGTCTTACCTGACCACAGATATCCAAAACCAAGGACTGGTTTTCATATTTCTTCACTTTGCAAGCACCCCTAGGAAAAAGAGATAAAGTGAATTTATGAACACAGAAACTGAAAAAAGCATGGAATTAAAATCTAGGGCTATAGTTTCCCTGACTCTTCCTGGAGAGATGATATAAACACAAATGAAGCACATCTGTTGCATTTAAGATATTTCAAAAGATTTAAAGAATAGGAATGTTAGTGTTCCAGTACAAAACAATGTCATGCCTTACAAAAACCAATTGAAGGCAACCGACCCTAACCTGTAGTGCTAATGTCCCGTCATTCCTGGGCCTTCCCTGATTTACTTACTTTGACAAAAGAGAGGGATATAAAGCAAAGAAACACTATTTTTCACAAAGACATCATCTAGCACATGCAGATGCAAGTAATGGCACTCCTTTATTCTAAGACAACTCACTAATCTATGGAGTATATTCTATTTAAATGTAACATCAATAATGTCTCTTCTAATTATATTAAACAAATTGTAATTAAGATACACTACTGAATCTGGCCAGCTACTAATTCAATACCAATACGTATTCTCTATGTAACTGTAAATTCCCAAAGGATAGAAAATAACATTTTGGGATTACATTTTTAAAAACCACAAAACAAGTGTTTTGTTTGCCTTGAGAGCCTCTTGTTTTGCTGAAGGCCTAAAAACGACAGCATGCTGTTGTCAAACACAGAAAAGACTTTTAAATTGACACCTGCATCATCCTGTTTGAACCAGTTCATCCGTAAACAAACCACTCCCCTTATGTAAGGCATGCGTTCAGCCATAGATCAATGTCATGGGCAGGACACCAAAGATAGCATTGTTCTTCCATGAAGATGAGGCATGATTTGTTAGGAACTCAACATGACTGAAAGGTACTTTTAAAAAAAAAAAAGCTTTTGACTCACTGCACTTAAAAAGCCATCACAAGAAATACAGTACTAACACTGCATGATAATATCAACAATGGATTTAAAAAAAGTTAACCCCAAATCTGGACACCACATACCTCAGCTCATACCTTAGCTCACCCTTTTTAATGCTTTCAATTGATCTGCAAAGATCACTTCAGTTTGCCTTTGTAAGTGAGAAACAGAAGGCTTAAAGGTCTAAATTATATAATACCACTAAAGTAAGTGAAACATTTTGGATCATTCAGGGCTTCTATATACCAACTGGTTTAGTCAAACAGGTTCTCTAACAGTGTCATATTATCAGTGTAACCCAGGTTCTCTGCATTATCTTTAGCTATGTGTAGTTTTTGATCAAGGCCAAAGGATGCCTCATGGGTTATGAGACACATTGCTTTTTTAGCGTGGAGAGGAAAGCAGCAGGTAGCAAGAAAAAATTTGACTATTTAATGACGCTTTGAAATAGTCATTAAATAGTTAATTGTTCATATACAGTATAGTGTGATTGCCTTGTGTTCATGCAGAGGTTTCCACAGCTATAAAAGATGGTGTTTGCAGGAGAGTTTGTTATGGAACGAAGATGTGTTCTATAATCAAACAGCTTGATAAACTTTAGAATATCATTAAAAGCACTACAGTAGCCATACTAGCAATAAAAAACAGTATCTAACATGTCTTTTTAATGTAATGTGTTTCTGGAATATTTGTTTTTTATTATTAGAAATATATAACTCATGCCAACATAAAATATGAAAGCATACTGTAATAATTAATTTACCCTTTTAATAGAATAGTTTACACATCTGATTAAAGTGTGATCACAGTGGGAAGCTCACAAAGTTTGTGATTTGTTGTTTTTGTTGTCTCTGATGAATTGTGTATGACTGTTAAATACTTTAACCAAGTAACAGCTAGTTGCTATGATCAGATAACCAGATCACTGGAGTTCCTCATATTTTCAGAGATACCCTGTAAAAATATCTTAGGACATCTGCCTGTCAAAAAATTCAAACAGGTAGAAGTATTAAGGTATAATTTTGTTTTAAATCTTATAAAGAATAGGGGCATGCAAAGATGCTTTTACTGCAGTCTGAGGAGGGAGGGATAAATGTCCACATTGTAATGTGTAAAACTATCAAGGAAGCAAATAGGAAGGAGCCTAAAGCTCCTCTTTGATAATCAGCTGGCTGTTTTCCATGAAAACTCCTTGCTTAATAATAAACATGAAAATATCAATTTAAAATAATAGGGATGATGTATAAATGCACATTTTTGAATTTGAAACTACTATTTTATATTAAAACATGTCTCAGAAATGTACATCTTTTTTCAAAATTTTAAAATCATGACAAAAGCTTTAGTATTGACACACGGGGAGGAGACCAAGGAGTGCTTTACTGAGCAGAAGGGGGGGTCGAGAATTGGAAGTCAGTGAGCCAACACAGCACGCAACCCAGGCCACAGTGACAGCATGACCAGGGACTCAATGCCCATGCAATGGGATGCACAGATAGGTGTGTGAGAAAGACCAGAGGCAAAGCACAAGCAGCGCCCAAGCAAATAGATGGGAGAAGTACTTACAACAGAAAACAGAGAAACCTCACTTGCTCAGAAGTCCTGATGTATACACATGACAGGAAAGAAGAGAGACGACCACAACACAGGGAAGACAGACAGATGTACAGTTAGAAGATGAGGAGAGAGATAAAGATACCATGTGAGAGTATAAGCCTGTTGCTCACACAGAGGGTAGACAAGCCCAGAATGAAGAGGCTGGTTAATAGAAGGGAGCAAAGGATTGTGGGAGGAAAATCTCTTCAGAACACTGGAAGAAATGGGAGCCATGTAAAATTTTGATATAGATGTAAACAAAAGTAGTTGCAGAAGTTAGGGCTGTAAACTCTTTTCAGTTCAAGGTTTCCAACAGTATGCATGTTGTGACTAGAAGACATTTGTACAGGGTAGATGCTCTGAAGTGCCACAACCCACGCAGAAACTGTCATGATTTTCATATCATGCATCACATACAACATGTACAGTATATTATGCTTTGCAAAGAAATTGACACATTCACCTCCAGAAAATGCATAATATAAAACATTATAAATATAATTATATTCATTTATATTATTATTTTTAAGGAGGCAGTATATTTACAAAACAGTTACTTTTGAATGGAAAAAATACTAGAAAAGTAGAAAATTTTAAATTAAAGTTACCAAAAACAACAAAAGGGCTAATATGCTTGTTTTCTGTAAAGCTCTATGATTTCATAACACTATTAATAAAATAATAGTCTATCCATTAGTAATGATACAATGATATAAATGTTCCTATTCAGATTCACTAGGCCGAACTGCATCAATATAATATGAGTTTATGCCTCTCCTTATACATTTATGATGCTCTTTGAAAATGGTCAGATGCAAAATAGGATAATAGATTTTCATATTCATTTTTTATTTTTTCTTGTTGTTGGGATTTATAATGCAAATTAAATACTTCTTATTTTAAGTTGAGCAGCGTACAAAGCCTCCAGTAATGTGAGAGTCTGAAAAGTTATAAAATAAAGCAAAAGAAAAAGAAAAAGGAGTACTGCAGATTTGTTTACGGTACAGACTTGAAGAAAAATAATACTTTTAATTTTCTTGTTTTGAGTCTCATGCTTTTTTCATGCAGTTTTCTTGCACAATCAAAATGGTGATTTATTGAGGTAAAGACTAAATGAACTTACAATGAACAAGTACAGTGTATTTTAAAAAATAGGAAACACATCTTTACACAAAGACTCCAGTGTCTCAAATAACCCATCTGACACTAACCCAGCCCATTCATTGAATTGAATATGACTGGGATTTTTAAAGAAACATTTTGATGGGATTGGAAGTTCATTAAGCTACTGATACCTAAACAAGCAGAATTTCCTCCTCTTGTTTGCAACCTTTCTTAAATTCTTAAGTCATCTTAGACTATTTTAGGAACCAAGAGTATTTTAGAACTCACGTAATTAATCTGGACTTGGTCTTCTTTGGTGACTGTCTCCCTTTCCCTTCAGAGTCCAAGGGGAGATCAAGTTTCTCTGTATCCTCTTCAAGATTGACATTTGTAGAAGAGTCCTGTGGTAACTCAGGAAAGCTCTTAGAGGGTTTAAAGGGGTCTATGGAGTCGTCAAAGTTGTCAGGGTTAAAAGTATAAGATCCTTTGGGAAGGACGGGTGAGCTGCCCAAATTAGAGGTCCCACCAAAGGGATTGAAATTAGGATCATCCCACTGGCTGGGATCAAAGTTGTAGGATGCCTTAGGGATGGGGACTTCCTCTAAATTCTGGATGGTGGGAGCAGCATCAGTGTTCGGCTCTGCTGGTTTAGACTTTTGTCTTTTGGGGGTAAGTCTGCTGCCAGGCTTTTTTCCCAGTCTTCTTGGTGGTGGCTTCTTAACCTCCCCATTCTCACCATCGTCCATTAACCCAAATTCCATCTTGACAGGTTTAGCCTCATCTGGAGCACCCTTGGCAACATTTGTGACATACTCCATCTGATAATTGCCTGAAGAAGAAGGTGGAGAGTTCTGCAGCTTGGAACCACCACTGGCAAAAGGGTTGGCACTATCATCATAATCATCTGGATTGAAGCAGTATGTTGCCTTAGGAACAGGGATCTCATCTTCTACTTCAGCTTGGTTGGTGACACCCTGTACTCCCTTTATGCTCAGGGGTGGGGGCCTGACCTTCTTCGTTTTGATCTGATCCAAAGTGGTGTCATCACCAGATTCATGACCTGCTTCCTCTGTGCTGACCACCATTGTTTCAGCTGACATATCCAAGCTAGCAGCTGCAGTCTCAATTGCCTGAGCTGGCTCAGAGTCAACTTTGAGCTTGTGCTGACTCACAGGCTTTCTCAAACCTATGTCCCCAGTGACGGTGAGATTTGCTAGATTCTGAGTCACATCAGATATGTTATTAAGTGCGTCTACATTTTGCTTTTCAGCTGAAGTTAACTCCTCAGCACTGGAGATCTTGGGAACCAGGGTGATCTCATGCTGGTTTGAATTTTTATCCAGATAAGTATTCTGATTCCCACTTGATTTAGAGATCAGCTGTTCATCATTTTCCTGCAGCCCTGCAGAAATGACAAAACAATGTTATTTTTAATTTATAATTTGATATATATTTATATTAATAAAACTATTTCAACTTTTAAATAGTATTGAAACAGCTAGTTCAGAGAAAATTGCAGGATTCACTTCACTTTAGCCAAAGTGAGATGCTGAAGGAATTTTTAGTTGATTTTAATAACAGATATATGATGCAGCCAACCGATCTTCTACCACACTTTTTGGTAAGTTAAAGGCTAAATTATGTTTGACCTGACTCTATATCTTTGCAACATATATTAATATTCGTCTCCAAAGCACATGTAGATGAACTGCACAAGCAATTGATATACAAGCCATAAGTTGAAAATAGCCTCAGTCAATATTTGCAAGAAAATTATAAACTTAATCAATTATAGAAAATGTAGCAATTTCCAATTTTGTTGTCATTTAAGCTAGGACTATTGATATTTATTTAAATAAAGATCAATTAAGTACCAATTTCTGTGCAGTTTCTCGATAGGATGGTGAAGGAATTTTAGTTGTTTTTTAGTTGGTTTTCATAATAGATATCTGATATAGCCCACATGTTTTCTATTACACTCCTTCATAAGTTATTTCATTACTGGAAAGAAAAAGGCTAATGTTATGTTTGATCTGACTCTATGAAAAGACTCACAACAATGCTACATGATTAAGTAAAAAATAAAAGCAATATAGGAACTCCCAATTTGTTCTTTGGGCTAGGAACTGCAATTTTGCTCATTTATTTATAGCCTGCATAGCAAAGGAGGGCATAGTGTAGTTAGTTAGTCTCTTGACTCATAATTATTGGGTTTTGGGTTCAAGTCCCTACTACAGACACTGCTATTGTACTTTAAGTGATATGCTGAACCACAATTACTGCCATCCACAAAAGCTATATGTACAGTTCTTGGGACCAGCATTTGTTAGAGGTGGTTGTTGTAATGAATTGGTGTGCATTCTGATTGCTTAATGCCATAGGAATCAGCATAGGATAAACTCTGGCCCAGGAAGCTGTTGCGTCTTGATTATAATCTACCACCCTCCCAAGTCTGTATACTAGGTCTGAACTTTTGATGAACTCATTTATTTTACTATGTTATGTACAATGTTTGATTGAAGGTTTATGTTTTATCTATATGCACATGTATACATGTGAACATATAAATCATCTCACCAAATGATTTACGATTCAGGATTTTAGCTGACAAGAAAGATCAAAAACATGGTTGTGTTGCTGAAAACATATTGAATAAAACCCATATGCAGCAATTACGTAGTTACTTTTAGATGGAAATGCTGCTTGTTTTATGAACATGTTTTTGAGATTTTGTGAATTTTTAAAAACATTTCTCTCAATACAAACTGAATTCCTGCTGGTAAAGGAACTGGTTTTCCCCTTCCATCAGAGTAGCAAGTTCTTTTCTTTATAATGTCAAGGGTATTCTGTCAGCAGAATCCCAAACAAAAGCTGTTAATCCACCAGGTGTTCCTTGTTGCATCTGAGAATATAAACACATCACTCAAAATGTTCTGGTGCACTGTATGTGTTCCCTATAAAAACAATATGTACGCTGAAGCCCGGACACTAATGATAAAAGGAAGAGACTGTTCAGTTCTTTTTTTGAATGCTTGCTCATCAGCTGTTGTCTAACTGTTTTGGAACAAAATGAGGCTCCACATGTACTAGGCCTTGTACTATTTCCTGTCACACACTGCTTTATTTCAGTATCACTCTCAACACCATTTCAATCCTGGGACCATCAAGATACCTCCAAATACAGTTTTATGTCACAGTACTGTCAGATGAACAAAGTGTATTGATCTACATTTTCCTGTGAGTAAGCATTTGACAAGACCTTTCCTTTTGCAATTGTTTAAACCATGTTTACCTACAACTTCTTAATACTTGTTATGGCCTTATTGATATAAATTATTCATATTATTACTAATTCTTTGAGCGTAGAGGCTCACCAACCTATTTTTTCAGTACATCACAGTTGTACTTACTGAATTACTGAACTCTTACAAATAAATTATAATAACTTTTATTTATTAAATCCCTTTCCAAACCCAAGGATGCTGTACATTGTGAAAAAAGAAAAAGACAATAAAAACTAGAGCATACAGGTTTTTACAGATGTAGGACAGTCAGACGTAGACCTTGGTATATATAATTGCCCATCTTGGTTTTGTGTATACTGTAGGACTTTTGACAATTCACATAATGTGCATTTAAAACTGGAAATAGACACATCTTTCCTTACACAGAGATGGGGGGTCTGGCCAAAACTACCCAGACAAGCTGTTAAAACAGATTCTCCGAGAAGTTTTATGGAACAGCTAGGTCCGAGCTTTAGGTCATTAAACTACGGACAAACCAAATCATGAATATGGGTAAAATTGCTTTCTCTTTTTGGTACATTCTTTATGTTTTTAAGCCATATTTTTATGTACAAGAGAAAAGAACACTAAAAAGCTGGTCTTAATTATATAAGACCTTAAGCCTGAGGATATTACAGACCTCATTAAGGAAATGCAAATACACATTTTTACGTTTCCATTTGCTTTCTTTCCACTAAAACAAGAATCACTTTTAGTCTTTTATCTTTTCATCAGCAGAAAAAGTCTAAAACACACAAATCTGTTTTGGAATCATCCAAGCTATAAATCCTGGTCAAATCATTACCCCCTCTTGCAGTCAATGTCTTTCATTGGTGAGGACAGATACGATGTTGTAACATGCTGTTTCTAAGTGGAGCGAAGTCTACACACTTGATAAGTGAACTTTTTACATGTTATACCTATTCATTGGTTTGTATGTGCAGACTGGAGACTGGAAAAATAACAACAAAATAGCCAAAGCTTGTTTTCATTTCATTACAAAAAAAGGTTGCAAGGTCCACACATTTGGTTATAAACAATTGGGTTCATTCATTGAAGATAAAAAAGTGAACCCCCAAGGTAATTTACTTCATTTAATTTGATGGCCTTGTTTAATTTAACAAAGACTAACAGATTTCTAAGTAAATGTACTGGAGTTCCAGTGAAATTTAAAGACTCAAAATACAGTATTAAAGCAAAACCCTTTAACTGAAAGTGTTGTCCCATTTGAAATCATTTTAAATACAAGACTTTCTGGCAAAAAAACACTTAAAACATAATCAACACATGACGTAATGATCCTTTACTGATCATCCACATATTGTAGATGTGGGGGAGATGAAACAGTTCTTGTGAGGGTCATCTGTCATTCTTCTTGTTCTAACCTACAGTATGCAGTGCCTTTACAGAAGAATTAGTCTCAAATGGAAGATTGATGCATCTCTCACTGATAAAACTGCAAGTTCAAAGGATAGCTCAAGTCCAGCAGGACTTGGCCACTAGTGTGCTGCCCACTGGGGGAAAACCTGGCCTCAGTCAGTCTCATGAGATATACTGTACCTGGAATTAATACAAAAGTGTTGTCTGGGCTTAACCTGTGATCTGAATTCATATCTTTACAGTACCTACTGAGACACCTAGAAGCTGCCACAATCCATCTTTTTGTTTTTAATAACACAAGGATTCTTTAAAGACACTGGTAAACAACACCACCTCCAGTCCAGTGAATTTTAAAAAGCACCCAATTCTCTATTAATTCCACATATCTCCTGAACTTGCATTATATTTTTACCATCAGGTTGCAGACAAGGAATTGATTTTTATCCATTTCTTCAAAAATGAAATTTGTAAAAACTTGGCATCAGTCAGAAAAAAACAATATGGACACATCTTAATCAAGAAGAGAACTTCTCACAAGTATTTATGTCATAGCTCATTAAGATTGTATTCTGTACTGTTCTGTGCAACTCTGAAGAATGTGAAAGAATTGGTTCCCAAACTAAAATACATGTTTTCGCTGTTTTACAATAACGAGCTTAAAATGGAATGGATTCACTGGACTTGCAGTTAGACAATGAAAGAAATGTTTTGTTTTGGATGTTGTGTAGGAATGACAGCAGCTGGGAATGATCAAAGGGCTTCAGATGAAAAGTGAAATTATTTTTAAACATTGCACCAATTTACTGTAGCTGATGTCTTATAAAGAAACAAAAATAATACACTGGCTCTGTGATGACTGACACATCTGTGTATTGAGATGTTCCAGAAACCGCTGTCTGAGCCCTGCTCTTAAAAAAGAAAATTAGCAGTTTTATTTAAAGCTACATAACACCACACTAGCTTTATTTGATCTGTTCATGGGAAAGCAGAAGTGTTGATGTTCTCCTCTTATTCTGTTTGAATATAAGCCTCTTTCTGAAACTTAAAACTAACATTCTACTTAATTAAAAGTTCTTAGTCACAAACGAATCAATGAATTGTTATATTTATACTTTCCAGATGTGGTGTAATTTGGAAACATAAGATATGTAAATATTCAGCCATTTCTTACATAGAATATAAAAAATTCACTACTAACACAAGTACAACTAGTTGGGAGCCAGAGAATGGGAATAATTACATCAGAAATATCTAAAAATCCAAAATCATGCAGTCACTTGCACAAGGCAGTAGGTTTCTCATCCCACAAAGTGATAACACATATCATTACAACATTTTCTTGCATCTCTGGTTTTCATCTCTTTATAATAATTTCTGTGAAACAGAATGAAACTGGCTGTGCTGTATCTACAGTATGACTAGTCAACAGCACAGGGTTTGGTATCTCTGCTGCTCATGAAAAAACTCACCACCAAAGATGCAGCAATTGCACTCCTCTGATATGGCCTCTGTGGTCACTGTTATGGGTTTAAATAATATTTTTACTAAGATTTTAATATTATTAATATTTTTTCAGAAGCAACAATGTAACTCAAGCATCACTTTCAGATATCTTGCTCAAATGCTCATCTCTTGGCAAATAATGACCAAAATGAGCTATCATACAACATACAGATACAGATACATACCGATATAAGGTTATTTTGCCTCTATCAGTATAGTGTCCGAAAAGAAACCA